CTGGTTGCTTCCTATGTCATCATCCTGTGCTCCCTGAGGACTCACAGCTCTAATGGGCGTCGCAAAGCCCTGTCTACTTGTGCCTCTCATATCACTGTTGTCATCCTATTCTTCATACCTTGTTCATACCTTTACCTAAGACCCATGACCTCCTTCCCCACCGACAAAGCAGTGACTGTGTTTTGCACCCTAGTGACGCCTATGTTGAACCCTTTAATCTATACTCTCAGAAACGAAGAAGTGAAAAATGTCATGAAGAAGCTCTGGGGGCGAATAATGAAAACTGATGATAAATAAACTTTGAGATTTGACTATTTAGGCAAGAATATCTAGTGATATTTTATATAGATTCATCCCCTTTTTGATTGATTAAACTTGGGACAGTCAATTATCTTGTCTTCATCAGTTTTTATTAGGAGCACACACAGTGGGCCGGGCTGACACACATAAGGCACAGTAGGAAATGCTGACAGCCCATAATACTTTTAGGAGCCCCTTAAATGCTTAATTTCTTTGAAATAAGGTGGGAAAATGAATATAATCTAAATCCAACTTGCATTATATTTATCTTTATGCCAATGTACTAATAAAATATAATTTTTAATATTTTTTATGTAGGAAAGGGCCCAAAAGGGCAAAAATACCAAGGGCTTACAAAAGTAATACTGTTGTTCTGATTGTGGGTATGAAATAGATGAACAGCAATATTCTTGACACCTTTCATACCCAGCACTACAGCCAGAATGAAGTTTTATTTTAAAAGGCAAAAAACAACTGTATATGAAAGGACTGTAGAACAGTATGGAAAGAGTCTTCAAGAAGTACTTTCATCAAAGTATAGTTTTTTAACTTCCTAAGTTTGAGAGGTTTATAAATGTTCTCCTACAGCAGCAATAGAAAACTTTTTGCATAGCACAATCCCAAAAAAAAGCACATTTTCATGAAAACTTACTTTTAAAAATATTACATCTCCACTATTCCCTATAGTATACAATTATTTACCAAAAAAAAATGGAAACAGAATTGGCTGGAGCAAAAGAACTATAATTGATAAAGTCTATAGGGTTAAGGCAGAAAATATCTATGCATTAAAGATATTTGGTTTTAAGATTATCTGGTTTTAGATATAAACAAAGGAAAAGAAAGCTCTGAAGACAAAACAGTTGCCACAGGAATTTACAGTGATGTAAAAAAAAAGTTTTTGTCATGGAACTAGATGACAATGATCAAAAATCTGGATTATAGAAATGTACCATGAACATAATAAAATACTAAAGATTCAGAAATAGTCAGATGCTTTGAAGTTAGGGATTAATAGCTTTGGATCAAATAGGCCTGATTTCTCATCTTGTCTCCAATCATTAATTAGCCTTAAAAATGTAAGCAAGCTGCTTCACTTCTCTACCTGTTTCTTCATCAGTAAAAGGGAAATAATTTTATATGCTTCTTTAAATTGTGATAATCAAATGATTTAAATTGAAACTGTGAGTCAGCTGAAAAATAGTGAAAATTGCTCAAACACTGAACACCTTTCAAGGATGTCACCAGAGTCTAAGGTGTGCTGGGCACGGCAGTTCCTGACAGAGGAGAACAAGAACATCACTACTATCTTCAATAGCCACTGTCACAGCAGGATTAGATGTCTGTCTCAGTCTCAGTGCACTTTAGAATAGGTCATAAATGCTACCCACTAACCAGTACCTATAGCACAATGGAGTCCTAGGGGCCAGTGACCAGGTCTTGGAAATTAATCCTATTCTGGGACTAAAATACCCTGCAGTTTCAAATGATGGAGCTGGTGGGAGCCACTATGAAATGCCTGAGCAGAACTAAGCTTAAACGCTCTCACGAATGATGAATCCCATGCCATCCTATTCCTCTGGAAGAAAGAGGAGAAAGGAGAGACCAGCGCCGGGGACCAAAAGATCTACCTCTGTACTGAGCCTTTGGTTTCTGTGGGAGAGTCCAGAAACAGGTTTTCGGGAAGATATTTCTAACCCATGAATTTGAATATCAGCTGATGCTGACATTTCCTGTGTTCTCAGGACTCTACATCAGGACAGATCATACATGCAATGCCTTTTGAAAAATAAATGCATTGCCGTAGTTTCCTGTGAGTGTCCATTTTATAAACACACGCGGGCAACAGTATGTTTTTAAAAATCTACTTTATCTTTTAAAT